ACCTAATGTTTAACAACTGTTTTCCTCAGAGGCACTTCATTTAGCAGATATTCCAGTATTGTCGAAGTTTGAGCTTTAAGCAAAAAATTTGTCATAAGGGGGGAAAAGCAAATATATATAAGCCTGTTTCATTTGCAGATCCTTCTCGTGACTGTTACCCACAAAAACTCCAGGGACTGTGATTGTCTTAGCTACAGAAGGAAATGGGATGCCAGCCAGAAAATATATTCCATGCTACCCAATATACATTATGGAATTCTTGACTGCCGAGAAATGATATTAGCAAGAACAAATCAACTTGCAGTTGACATGAGATGGAGACATGCCAAGGTCAGGACGCAGGAGACGAAGGACACCCTGGAAGGGTGATGCGATTCAGTGTACCTGTCTCAGTCCCCCTGTAAGACAGATCTCTAGCCGTCCTCTGAGGTCCCTTTGTGTCTCTCCTAACTTTAGAGAACAAATTGCTTGGACTAGACTCCCTCCCTTCCATCTAGCTAAGGTAGGTGAGACAAGTCATACCCTGACAAGCTGATTTCTCCAATATAAAGGGAAATTACAATAATTTAAAAGTAGTTACTACAAGCAGGAAGCCACCACTGACTTACCTGGGGAGAATAACTGAAAAACTATAGTCATTTCAAATTTAGTGAAATCACACCAGAATGAAACACAGATAGATATTAGAATGTGGGCCCAGACTCATGACACATTTTCGAAACATTAACTGGTGATATCTCATAGCTTGATGTCAGTTATCACATTTTATCATTCCTTCGCAGATCAGGGAAATAAAACACAGAGAAATAGGCATTGCCCAGATCCTGCTGTAACACTCACACTGGCACTACTCATTGCCAAGCAAGACTTAACCAAAACTACCAGAAGTCACCTATATCAACCCTCCTCTCTTCTTCCTCTTCCCCAGTCTCCACATTCATGGACTTTCTCCCTGACAGGATCAAGAACAGTCACCATAATTATTTCAAAAAATCTTAACCTTTTCCATTATAGAGCTTTTCATACTTGAATTTGAAATCCTTCCTCTTCATGATGAAAGAGGAATTTCTATGGTTTTGGCTTAGAATAAACCATAGAATGTAAAACACATTTTCAGCAATAGGATAATAAGGAGTGTTAATTTATTTGGTTTAGAGCTTGGAGAATACCAAACCAAAGAAGGAAAAGAGATTTCTTTCATAGATCCTTCACCTCCTGGTAATTTTTGCACCCTGGGATTACAGTCAGGCATTCTACATTTTTTCTGGTTTCTGCAGCAATATGGCCCCTCTGCTGAATCAATCATGCAGTTGTAGAGCCAAAAAACATTCAAGGCCTAAGTTAATGCAAAAGGATGTACTCCCTTAGCTTGTTGCTCCCTGGGTCTTGCACTTCATGGGGTCATTTGCATTCAAACAAATTAAGTGAAAAGTAGGTGTAAAACATGACCAGTGTGCTTTGGTAGTACTTCAGGACTTTGTGCTCTTTCTTCAGTGCTGTAAATGACTACACAAGGCACGGGTGAAAGATGACTGGGTATGATAGCTCTTGAAAAAAGCTGGGACAACAAAATGTAACAAAAAGCACAAGAATTTGTGGCAAGATCTTCTTGGTCTGCAGTGAAAGCACTCAGCAAGCATGACAAACAAAGGAACCAAGAAGGGCATAGAAGAATGAGCCCATCAGCCCATCAAAATTATTTGCTCCCTAGCTCTTTCCAATGCTCTGTACTATGAAAGCTCTTTCCAATGCTCTGTACTATGTACCACTTGAAATGGCCAGCTCCATCTAACTGGAAAGTCTGGACAGCAGTCCCTCAGTCAAACAGGTCATCGTTATGCCCCTCTACAGCCACACACAATTTTCACAGGGTTACAGTCACTTGTCCTTACTAAAACTCGAGCAGTATTGCTTCATAAGCATGTTTTGGTTGCAAGGCTAGCTGAAGCAGTCTCAGCTCACCACTCTCAGATTCAGATATTGCTGCTCCTGATTCACACAGCACAAATGTCGGGCAGCCACAGGGCTGAGCAGCAACACAGGACTGAATTATCTGAGTAAAAATATTCTTTTTACTCAGAGATCAGTTCATGCATGTCTTCACAAAGAGCTATATTCAAGGTACCTTTACTCAGCAAGTGTTTTGGAAGAGCAAAGGTGGATCAATCTGATATAAACAAAACCAAATCAAGTGATTTAATTAAAGTTCCTTCATCAGCACACACAAAATTAGGCTGCATTCCCATTTCTTAGATATAATGGTTAGACTTCTTAAGTACTTGCCAGTTGTTAGTCAGTAAAAGCTTTATTTTATTCTCCGAAATTCTTTAATATTAGAGAAGAGCTTTACTTTCTTAGATATTTATTATTCTTTATTATGTCCTTTTAGACTGAGCTTTTAACAGCACAGTACTAGAAAACCTGTGTTTCAACACATACACTATACTTTGTGATTCAAATTGAAGATCTTGTATCAACCTGTATCTCCTGCTAAATCAATATACAGTTAGTGGAGTATTTGTATTGCGATGTGTGTGTAAATCAATATATGTTTATATTTTTATTTTTGAATAAAATCCTAATAAAGCTTAGTACAGTTTTCCAGTGATGAGCATAGATGATTATCTGTTGTATTTACGTGGGTATCTATCCACAGTGGTTTATACAAGGCACAGAACTCTGTGGAATTAAAAAATTATGGACAGCCAATATTTTTTTTTTTTCCTGGAAGCTCAGAACTCCACTTGCAAATATGTTTTGAATTTTAAAAAAGTAAATCTTTTAAAAGCAAAACATTTATATCACTTCTAGAATGTAAACTGACATTTAATACCAGACATTCACACAGATAAAATTAGCATGAACATATTTTGTGCTTTGAAATCTACAGACTTCTATGACTATCTAGAGCACAGTAAACAGTATTTTATTAATATCTTTGTTATGGTAAATACTAATCCAAACTGTCATATTTCCCATGCATATATTTTTGGATTGCTAAGGACAGCCATTATTTTATCCAGACACAGCCTACATTTTCCTATAAAAGATTTCCAAGGACTAAATTATGATAATAAACACAACTGGGGGACAAAAATGTAGACTCATGGTCATTATATGATGTACATTTTTATCAATGCCTAACATGTAGTGCCCAGGAAAGCAACTTCAGTTGCACAACCAGACTGTTCTTTATGTGAATAAGTATATTCATAGACACAAAGTTGACCTCCCCTATACCTGTATAGAGCCCACAGAATCTCCTGCTGGATTATCTATCATCTGTCAGTTAGAAAGCTCTGTCACCTCATGCTAATGACTCCATGTTCATTGCTGCCCTTAACTTTTGCTTTCAATGCTTAAGGTTCCTGGTTGCTAGGACAGAAAACTTTATCACAGTTGGATGAGCTGAATGTTTTTTATTCAAATGTCTACCTACAGATACCAAGTAATCTCTGAGGTTCCTAGTTGAATGCCTTTAGGTGAGGCAAAGTCCTAACAGCATTTCCCAAATCCTGGGTCATTTTTAACCATCTTCTGAAATCTCTCAAGTAATTCCAATCTTTCTTAATGGCAAGACATCAAAACCACAGTATTTTACCGATATTATGTGGAATAATTACTTTGCTGCTTAACTTTTTAGGCATTCAAGGAATGGTCTACCCTTTGTGACAGCATTATGCTGAGAGCTCACACTGAGATGATCTTCTATGATCACTCTAAATCCATTAGGTCACTGCTTTCCAGGACAAAGCCTCATTTTTCTGCAGCAGAGACAGATATGTTTCTCTGGTGCCAGATATATTTCATTTGTTTCAAATATATTTCATCTGGTTATAATAAAGTGCATTTTACTGGAATGTAGCCATTATACCAGGGGATTCATATCATTTAATAACTTCAACTTGTCCTTCCCACCAATTATCCAAACCTATCAGACCCTAATGAGCCCCATTCATCTACATCTTCCCACTAGAAAAACAGCCTTTAATTTACCTAATGTGTGCCCTGATAATTCTCTACACCATTTTTTAAATTACAGTGTCATTTCTTATTGTTAAATGTCTTTGGGAATCCAATTTTACCATAATAATGCAAGTTGCAGAAAAAGACACCCTTAGGTTTGGAAGTTATAGTGAAAACAGCTTTCTGCACTTTAACAAATTTTGAGAATTTTTTTCCTCACTGCAATGGAAAATTCCCTCCTCCTCCCAAATCTTTAGTTCAATGTGAACTTTTCCAAGAAACCAAATATTAGTCAATAGAAAAAAAAATGACATGAGCAAAGTCTTAATAATAGTATAAGATAATGGCAACTTTGGATTTAAGTACGTCCATTTAAAAAATAGGGATCTTGAGTCTTGTTCCATCTTTCCTTAGCTTTATTTGAACTCTCCCCTCACTATACAACAGTCATCTAACTTCTGGAAGAAATAATATCAATTTCCACTTTTCTTTCACTATCTAGAAATAATTAAACCCAAGTGGGCAAGTTTCCATGCTTGGAAATTGTTTTCTCTCATTTTCAGTCTCAAAAAGCAGTCATATGAAATGGTGTAGCTTCAGCTATGGATGTTACAAGACATCCAGCAAAGACCATCCAATAGGTCTTTGTAGACTTTCTGTTTACAGGAACACAGTCCTTACTGGTATTCCATTTCTGAAATGTATATAGAACTGTCTCAAGCTAAATACCTAGCTAAACCACTGGTAGGCAGAATGAGAGACAACATATCTTCTTTAACATATGCAAGACCAGTGCAAAACTGAATGGAGTAGAAATCCCACTTTTTCCCAACGTTTTGATATATCAGCAGTAGACCTTCCGCTGCAAACCTTAGAAAAGTCTTTACAGATGTACAGTGGCAAAACATTTCAGGTTCTTGCCACAGGTCAGCAGCTGAGAGTTCAAGCCTTGTCCCAGATCAGCCAAGCTAGAAGTGAGCATCTAGTGCTCCCACTGGCAAGCTGAAGTTAGAATGTGATAGTAGCCACACCACTCAGTATGCCAACCGACATGCGTGAAGCAGATTAAGGCAAAGGAATGTATATACACAGAGATATATATCTAATATGTATTAACCAAGTAGCAAGTTCACTAAGAGTCTACATTATTCACCTATCATGTACAACTGACACATGGACTGACTGCAGGTAGGGATACTCTGTCTGCAAGACTGTGAGACCTGGGGAACCTGTTGTGTGGTTTACTTCTTGAGTTAGGCACCCAAGAAAGCAGACTCAGGCTTTTGGGCAGGTTGGGACTACAGATAGGAGGCTAAATTATACCAAAAGACTGTCTTTGTCTTTTCAAGGTTCTTGGAAGCTAGCAATGCATTAGAAATTTCCAACCAGCTGTCCCTGTGGGACCTGTTCTCAAATGAAAATTATACATGTATCTTTCTCTCTCTGATGCGTGGCCACAAATTTAATTAGGCACATATGGAGGAAGTAAAGAGTATGCTGAAAAAATCAGCAATGCTTCTTAAATTTTTGCTTTACTGCTGTAACATTACAAATCTTTTAAGCTGTAATCATTTCTACTCTGTTATATGAGTGCTGATTTGATTTCAAATTTTGACACAATTTGTACAAATATTTTAAAAATATTGACTTCTAGTTATCTTTGGATCTTACTGATAAGGATAAATTTTAAAAATGCTGTCAGAGAGCCTGAAGTATTTAGAAAATAAGGTCTGATTTACAAGAACTGAGAACTTAGATCTCACCTCTATAAGAAAACGTGTGCTGTCTAACCTGTTTTGCAAATGATGTTTATTGGAAGATGCTGGGATGCCAGAGGAACCCAATTCTTTTCAGCTACCACTGGCTTTGAAAATAGCCTCTTTATACTCTTACGTCTGACTACAGTTGAAACTGTTATCCCCAATTCTTTTTTTCTTATAGAACACTAACCAGCAGGTATTCATTTAAAAGAACTCAAGGTGACTCACATAGCTTCTCTTTTTCAATTGTTAGTTTTCCCACCACCAAAAACTACCTTTACACCTGGCTGCTATTATCTCAAAGTAGTCAAAGAATGTGGTAAATATTATCCACATATAATTTATTAAAAGCTGAGTCAAAGAACAGGTGTTGCTATTGTAAAGATTAATTTTGCAGCTCTTCTGTTCAAACTCGTAAATTATGAACTCTTGGGCCCCCTCAACACTAAATCACACACACAACATCCACGCAGATTTATTAACTTTAGGGTGAAAAACGATGTGTAAACTTGCCAGCTGCTCTGCCTACAAGCACTGGCACCAGTAAGTATGCTAGGCCCCTTACTGTCTCTCCACTTTACAACTAGGAATTGGCAGCTTCTCTCTGCCATCAGTGGCAGTTCTATAATTTCTGCTTTTGTTCTACTCCTTTAGTTATATTAGAAGAAACATCGACCTACTATAAAGGGTGTAGCAGTTAACTACACTATGGTTAACTGCACAGTCAATGTGGGTTCACAAAAGGAAGAACTATTTAACTAATTTGATATCATCCTACTATAAGGGCACATGCCTAGTAGATGTAGGGAAGGCAAGGCATGTAGCTTATCTGAATTTTCAGAAGACATTTGATACTGTCCTGCACAGCATCCTTCTGAACAAGTTCTCCAACTGTGGGATGGGCGGGTTCATGGTGCACTGGGTGAAGAACTGGCTGAAGGGCAGAACTCAATGGATTATAGTGAGTACAGCTACATATGGCTGGCGACTGGTCACCAGCAGTGTTCTAAAGGGCTCAATCCTAGGTCCAATTCTGTTCAATCTATTTAAGCAGCAACCTGGATGCAGGAGTTGAATGCATCGTTAGCAAGTTTGCTGATGATACTGAACTGGGAGGTGCTGTTGACTGTCTTAAGGGGCAGGAGGCACTGCAGAGAGATTGGAGGACTGGACGATTAATGGTATGAAACTTAACAAGTCCAAATGCTGGATCCTGCACCTAAGATGGAGTAATGCCAGGAATAAGTATAAATTGGGAGAGGAATGGCTCAAAATCAGCCCTGCAGAAAGGGATCTGGGGGTGCTGGTCAGCAGCAGGCTCAATTTGGGTCTGCAGTGTGTCTTGGCAGCCAAAAGGGCAAACCACATCCTGTGGTGCATCAAACATAGCATCACCAGCTGGGCAAAAGAGGCGATCATCCTGCCATATTCAGCACTGGTGCAGCTTCACTTTGAATACTGTGTGCAGTTCTGGGCCCCAGTTTAAGAAAAGTGAGAAAGTCCTTGAGTGTACCCAGAGGAGGGCAACAAAGCTGGTGAAAGGTCTGGAAGGAATGTCCTATGAGGAATGGGTGAGGACTTTGGGTTTGCCTAATTTGGAGAGAAGGAGGCTGAGGGATGACCTCAGTGTTCTCTACAGCTGAGGAGGGGAAGTGGAGAGGGACGCACTTAGCTCTTCTCCCCAAGATGCAGTGATAGCATGCTGAACCACAGGAGGTTTAGACTGGACATTAGGAAGCATTTTCTTTCCAAGAGGGTGGTCAAATGCTGAACAGGCTTCCTAAGGAGGTGGTCAATGCCCCAAAACTATCAGTGTTTAAAGACACAGTTGGATAATGCCCTTAATAACATGCTTTAGCTTTTGGTCAGTAACAGTAGCTTACAGCTACCTTTTCCTTTGTTCTCGGCATCATCAGATTCAGGAAAAACAATTATTATTTAGGCATCGGTTGTCTCTACTAATCTGGTGGTAGAACTGAAACTTTTATCTATAATTTACTACCCTGTCACACTGGGCAGTGACAATGATTGACCAGGATTCTTGGAATCCTATAGCAGAGGATCTTGGATGCTCAGAAGTCCCCACTCCTGTGCGATTCGGGTACAGCAGCTATAAAAGAACCATGGTGTGCATCTGATGTGTTCTGAAGCATCAGTCTCCCTGATCACATAATTAGCACCAGTCTATGTGTGCGCAGCCTTATCAACATTTGGGCGATTATAAATTCATTACAGAAAACAAAGAGGAAAATTCACATGTGCAGAAAAGGCTGGTACTGGGCTTTCCCTTGGACCACTCAAGGTGAGATTCACCCCAGATAACTGAAAGGTTCAGGCACAAGTCAAATTGGACTTTACTGGCTTTGGATTAAAATCAGCTCTACACACAAACTTCATTTTAACACTGAACTAGTGTGAAAAAAAATTGGCACATGCTCTTCAGTATCTCACTGTGCAAACTGAAATTTCATATTCAAACCCCAGGCTATATATGGACTTGTGAAACGGGTGTATGAATAGAAAACTCTTACTTTTTTTATGTGGCACAATTTAAAAAAGTATGAATCTTTAATCCCTTACACAACTGTTCCATTCTGTGAAGAAATTGGCTTTTCCTTAACTCTGCTTGTTTAAAACAGTTTTAGAAGAAAGCATTAAGTTTAGTAAACACGCCGACTGAATCATCTGTTCTTTTCAAGTACATTGCAAAACATGTAGTATTTCCAGCAAGATCATTTACAGGTACCTCGTAGGCAGACAGAACTTGCTACAGTTTGCATGTATTGCAATTTAGAGCATGTTACTTGTTGTTACTTGTTCTGTCATTTAGGCTATGATCCTTCTGACCTTTGCTTTCATGATCAGACAACTGCTTCAAAGAATGTAGGATATTAAGGATTACTTGTGTGATTAAGAATTTTTTTTTTCCATACAGAAGAATTCAAAGGAATGCAGGAAAATAGAGGTAATGGAGCCATAGGTCTGAGGAGGAAGGCTCTACTTTTCAGAGCTACTGAGGCTTTTTTGATGCATTTATTTTTGCTGGTCAATACAGATTTACTAAACAGAGCATCTATTTCAATTTCATGCTACTTCTTTTGAACAGCTACTTTAACATATCAGGGCAAATTGTTTCACTTAGCTAAGTAAACTGTGGTCTGCGATCATTTTGTCATTGTTCAGTGACTGCAGGAAAGCTTATGTAAATCAATCCCCTGAAGTTCAGTCCTCAAACAAATGAGTAATGGTACTTAGAAGAAAAGCTCCTGTGAGCAGTCATGACACCTTCACAGGATCTGAAGATATGAAAAAGAGAATTTAAAATTTTGAGGGTTTTTGACATATTATCTGGTCCTAACAAATATACTTACATTTGTCTTGGTCAGCTTCCACTTCTTCGCTTTCTGTGTCACTCGGTAATATCCAAGGTTGATGAGCAAGCTGAAGCTGTTGTAAGAATTCGTCCTGCCACAAACAGATCTATTTTAGATAAAATGACAGAGAATGGTTCTACATAAATGCAGATTGTAGCAAGCACTCTAGCCTCAATTAAATAGAGACAATAAAGCCTTTACTAAAAAATATCTTGCCGTAAAATAAAAGCAGAATGTAGAGGATATGCAGGCTCCCTAGATTTATTTTTTTTTCAGATTTCTTATTTATTTATCTATTCTGAAAAAAGAAACAAAGGTCTCTTTAGCTGTTTATCTGCTATAGCCACAGATATATACATATCTTAAGAAATGCAGTGACAGAGCAAAATCTTAATGCAGATATTCCATCTGTCCCTGCAGTTTTTGGACTATGCCTAGGCATGTCCTGCACAATTTGCTTAAGCAAGGCTTTGATTTGTCAGAACTTTCGCTGTCTCCAATCTAGTAAGAACAAGGACCTGAAACTTGATTTAGAACCTATGGATTTGTTGGAGAAGGAGAAAGCCTAAGAAGGCAAAACGCTATGGAAACTCTTGTCTCCAAGATACCATAAAACTCTAAGCACCAAAATATAAATGTTTTACAGAGTTAAGAATCTATATGCAGCTGAATATATTCTTTCACAAAAGTTTTACAATTGCCTGTTTTTTACAGAATGCATATATGTATGTATATAAAAATATTTTTCCATACACACACATATGTATGTGAGCACACACGCACGCAGACTTACAAAGTACTTTGACAGGTTCCTTCGCAATATTCAAGGTGAGAGACAAGACTGGAATGCATTCTATTTTCAAAAGCAGTTCAAACATGCAGTCTAGTCTCTAAAAGAGAACTTAAACATTGGCCAGATATCGTAAAATTACTGGCCAGATTCTTGTAAGTATCTGAAGACAAAGAAGGGTAATAGCCCTGTCTTCTTTTACACCAGCTAAAACCCAGAATCTACATGTTCTAAGTTAAATTGTATTGCACAGTACTATAGCATAATTTTCATTGTCGGGCTATTATCTGGTTTATAAACAGAAACCAGGCTTGTTTAAAACAGTTATTGGAGACCAAAGGCTGTTCAGTCAAGATCTAACTCACTGGGAGTAAATTATTGATTCTATTAGCAATCTGTGAAAAAATCCACAAAGACTGCTGCCATGGTACAACACAACTCAGGGAGGAGCTTCAGGCCTTAATGCCTGAATTGCCATTTCACATGTGCTCAGTGTTCGAGATGGTTGCTGACCATAGCATTGAACTGGGTGAAGTGTTTTGCTTCATGGAACAGGATTCTTGCAGTAGGAGAGAGTGGCTCTCGACACTGATCAGCATACTTTTTAATCTTACAAAAACACAGGGCAAAGGGCTGAGTCAGGCAGCAGAACAGAATGGAAGTATCTGACCAAAAAGAGAGTCCGCATCACATCAAGTTATGTTCTGTACCCCAGTAAGCAGAAGAAAAAACTTGTGTTAATCAGTGCTATATTAAAATAACCTGAAATTTCCTGCTGTTAACAATGACAGACCAATAAAGATTACTGAATACCACTTTAAACTATCTGGATAAATAAAGTGATTGTAAAATTCCATGTGTTCAGGAAATGATATGGCAAACAAGGGAGTCAGAAGTATTTTCATCTCAACAGCTATAGATAACTATCACACAATTGTATCACTTTAATGGAATCCATCCTAAAGAGATAAGCAGAATTCAACATTCCTTTGTCAATTTATGCAAAACACCAAAGGACAAGGTAATGCATAGAGGTATTTCTGCCAAAGGATTTGGAACCCTGATTTATTAGTTTTATAGAGATAATAAAACTATTTCTCTAGGTAGCATTTCTTCGCTATAATTCCATTCAGTCTTGAACAAAGCAGATAATAAAACACATCTGTTAGAACTTTGCAATATTATGTGTGCCAAGGGGCAGAAACTTATCCACAAAATCACAATCATTTTTAAGACTCGAGCATTAAAAACCCCTAAACATTCTTAACAGCTGATATGTTAAGTACTTGCCAAATTATTTAAGATTGTACTAAAACAAGATTAAACTACCCTGAGTTACAGCATAAACTTCACTAAAACTTAAGGACAACTCTGAATTGTATTTATCAGTAACATTTTTGTATTTTAGACTTATTATGTTAGTGTGAAACACATTACAAATTAGGAAACATACATAAGGCATTGAGAGAGACTTTAAAATTCCTGGTAAATAAAAAAGTGACAGCACGCTGTGTAAACCCATGCAGATTCTGAATTCTTTAATTCAAGCTCCTTATGGTAAAACATGCTCCTCATAGCCAGCAACGACATCCTTTTCAACTGACTTATTCTCATCAAATATGTATCAAATTTGTACTGGTTAATTCCATTACCACTACCTAAGAGTAAGGAAGCAGAATTATTTGCAAAATCTTATCATAGTATCTTGTCTATGTTTGGTGAGACAACCAGTGCTTTCACATCTAGTGGAAATTCCCAGTCCACATCATAAGGCTAAGAAGAATAAAGACAATTTCCCTTTTTTTACTTTTCCTTGTTTTAAATGGGAAGAGGACACAAAGCCTACAATGAAAGTTGCAAAATCATTTACAGTATCAGCCTCGAGTTTTATGTGCTTGTGATCTGGCAAAGTACAAAGTAAGAACTTTCTTGTCCTTCTCCTATCTCAGGCCACCTCTGACTTTTTAAAATTTTTCGCCACTGTCAGAGAGAAACTGTGACACAAGAAAATGAAATCACATGGCCACAAATAGGGGACACCTCTAACACAGCAAGAAAATGTCACTGGACAGAGATATTTCTTAAGTATGTTCTGTCTGAACCCACTTTTCTAAGTGATCAGAAACTTCAGTGGGAAAGGATAGCTTAAAACACCTCCCAGAGCTTCTAGTATAAACTCCAAAGATGAGGCTGGGAGCAGCAGATCGGCCAGACCTCCATCAGCTACTTTCTGACATCTGAGGACCTTTACAACTTGGCAGAGGAAGGTCTTTTGTATGAATGTGTCATATTAGCAGTTTTCCACTTGGAAGCAGAACTAGTCCGAAGATGAGTTTCCATTAAGTCAAAGGTCACATGTGCTTGTCAGGAAAGGATAAATAGGGTTTGAGCTGGGTCACTAGCAGCCACCATACTATTGTACCCAGTGAGCAAAAGGAAAGAAAAGAATTTATCACAGAGGATAAGACCCTGGATAGAAATGATGAGATTTAACACCAGCTTTACAGTGGGCTTGTTGGACGAAACTGGACATGCTACTCTAACTGTAAACCAAGGTAATAATATTGCTCTTTTCTTAAAGTTCCTGAGACATAAATATACACATATAAAAGTATAACAGGACACTGTTATACTAATAAGAGCTATTAATAAGAGCTATTAAGATACTAATAAGAGCTATTAGCAAAGCTTGGGATTTGGCAAACAGAAGTAATAATTCACAGCAAATTAAATGGGATTCATTGTTAATATTACTATAACTACAGAAAGGCTGTGAAAGAAAGCATTTTTAATTGCCTGCCTCGTTACAGGAAAGATCAGAAGTGATGGACAGACTGGATGTCCCTTGGTGTAGAAGCAGTGCTCATTACACGGCACTTTCAGGAGTCTATACAATAATTTTAGTTGGCATCATATGACTATGGACCAGTTAAGAGCAGGACTGCTTAAAAAGAAAGAAAGAAAAATAGGAGCAAAGTATTTTGCAGGAAACAACGAAACCGTTCATTTCTTTTGAACATTTTTAGTTTAAAATGAATTTCAATTCTCATTTTCTGGTACATGAGAAAAATTCCCACACACAAACACACACTCAAAACAGGAGACAAAGAGGTTCAGTTTGTCAAGAAAGAAATGTGTTACAATTAAATATTTTTTTTCCATGGAAAACTTCAGGTTTGAAAATGTATCAACTGTCAGTGAAGATACTTTCAACAGAACTGTAGTCACCTTCAGTCCTCATGTCTTTAAGTTGGATATCCAGTTCTAGGTGAAGAAGTAGCTTGAGCGATGGGATTAGTGCACTGCCATTCAAACAGCAAAATGAGGATTTTTTTTTTCACCACCAAATTTAAGTCAGATTTCCTCCACATATTCTTCAATTTTAGTTACCTGTGCCTCATTTCCTTCCTTTCATACTAAGTAATGGTGGCCACATACTTAATTGCAAGATTATACCAAGTATCAAATCTCTAATTTTCCTATAAGTATCTCTAAGCAATGTTACTAGAAACAACATCTTTTAAATTTTTTAAGAAGTCATTAGACTGATAACACATTGGTTGAAGTGTTATACCCCACAGAATTTTAGAACAAATTATATCTCTTAGAAACAATTATCTAAAAGTATGATATTTTTTTCAGTCTTGGAAAAAACTCTCCAGGCTTTGACAAATGGATTGCAAAGACATTGGTAATAAATGGTGGGAACCAACTTAATCCACCATGAAAAAATAAGCAATCTACACATACATGTCCTTCTCAAGTCAGTACAGAAGGACTGGCATTTCCTGAGAAGAAACTCACCTTTGTAAGGCATGTAGCTAAGACAGACAGAAGGGCTGTTCATTCACAGGTGCTTTTCTTTCCACTGCCTACATGCTAAAGTTATCTTTAAGGCAGCTAAACGTAGCAGAGGAGAATACCACTCAAAATTGACAAGGTACTTTAACTTTTTGTCTTGTTTTAAAGACTAATCCTGTAAAAGTGATTAATATGGGACAGGAAGTTTATATGCTCTGAATCAGCCTAGTTAACATGAATATAGTACTAGACCATGATTTCATGATATTGGACATTTTCTCATTGCACTTCAGTTTTGTGTTTCAGAAAATTTGTTCACTCAGCAATGCCTAACTAATCATTCCAACGTGTCCAAAAAAATGACAGAAAAAAAGCAAACCAAGGAAATATTATGCACTGCCAATGATGCAGGAAAAAATACCCTGGAATCATAAAGTTGAGATAAAGTTGTTTAATATTCCAGAGGTAAACACCTCTTAGAAACTGTAAGGCTAATACAACTGTTACACATTTTACAGGCAAAACCCTACAGAACTTATTGAAGATTTGAGGGGCGTGTTTCAGTATGATTCCTGTAATACCCTGACATTCTCTAATCTGTACCTCTCAAAGATGAGCAGCATTTCCTTGCTAATTTTCTCTTAATATTTCCAAGTTCTTTTCAGAGTAGTAAGTTACATTAGGTACACTGATGTTACTTCAACATAAAACACAACCTAGTCTTCATGTTGTAACAGCTTCTAAACATAGCAAAAACATTAAATTGAAAATCTTACTTCTGATAAACTGCTTCTCTGAGTAGTGACAGTTCCAACAATGTCTCCACTCATTTGCACTGAAAGCCCTGAAGCAGCGCTGAGGGTCCTCCCCATTTGGCTCTTAGACGTCAAAGATCTGCTTCTTTGCATACTAATGATGCCTTCCCTACTTCCTTGGTTGCTAGGGGTAAGAGGCCGTGACAGCAAGCTATTTGGGGTCACAGGTCTGTTCCCTGGAGTTGATGGCCTGTTGGTTTGTGCACCAGGCGTTGGAGGCCTGCTGTTTGCAACACTGGAGACCTGCGTTCTGCTGTTAGTGGGCAGTGGTGGTGATTTGTTTCCTTGGAGCTGAATGCTCTTCCCCATCTGAGTTGGCACCTGAGGCCTTGGATTTTGGACCTGTGTAGCTTGAAGATTGCCTTGACGGTCAGATGTAACTAAACTATGATGCTGGATACTAGGGCTTCTTGAGAGCCTTGCTTCTTCCCACAGTGCTAGGTCCTTCTCAATATCTGTGGACACACACAAAACCAAAAAAGAAAATAATGAAATAAACTCACTTTCTGTTTCTCTCTGATTTAAAATCTGTAATGATTTTCTCCAATATAAGTGGCAATCTGAAGTTATGCATAGAATAAGGCATTAGAATAAAACATAAGGCATTAGAGTAGTTCAAATGTTTGACAAGCATTTGCTTGAAGTTTATTTATATTTCATTTATTGCAAACACAGCTATCCCACAGAAACAAAATATTACCACTCAGAAATCCCACTCATTTCTTCAAAGTTCTCTCTCTGTGGCTTTTGCGCAGTTTCTCTCTGTGGCATTTGCTGTTTCTCATTAGTAACAAACCAAGACGAAGGAGTGAGCTAAATTTGCCATCCTCAGCTGCAGTGAAGAGTAATCCAAAACTGGTTCCAGGCAAGACTTTTGCTTCAGCCATTGCTGTCTATTTCCCAACCACAACTCTGGGGGAAATAACCCCTAGAACTCTTCCAAGTCTGGATCTGTGATCCCATTTGAATCTGAGTTTTGTGCTCAGGCTTGCAGTCAGTGCCACAGCAGGTGGAACATTTAGAATCCAAGGAGAAAAGCTATAGACCATTTGGAGGTCCAGTCCTTACCCCTCACATAGCCATAAGGAATAAAATCCTATTCAAAAAAAGAACAGATCAGGCCTAGTGATGAAAAGTGTCTTTTGAATTCATTTAAATCGTAATAATGCTTCTAATGAATTAAATCAGACACATCCAACAGTTAGGTGAGGGAAGCTGGAATTTAGGTTACCATTGCTAACACACTGAAAGTCCTCACAAGTAAAAATGTCAAACTTAAGGAACAGTTTACTCAAGTTCATTTTATCTTACACAATTGCTATCAATTTTCACTCTCGCTGGCACGTACTTTACTGTAACTTGGTTTTGATAGGGACAGTTGGTTATTGTAAGAAAAGCAATGCCATTTCCCATTAAACTGCAAAGTCACAGACACAGAAGCTCTAAATCAGCCAGCCTCTGCTGATTTAAACTCCTGGTATGTGAGTTTATGTAAAATAAGCATTTCCTTTTTATTTTGATAACAATAATTTCAGGTTCTAAAAGTCCTAAAAGCGTCAGATTTAAATTGCATGTTGGAAAATCAGATTTTCTTTCACTTGTGTTTGCCAGTAGGTATAAAAGAATGCTGTATGTAAAATTAACTTATTTTTCATAATTTTTATTAGAAAAATCATAATGTATTTGTTATAATAAATAACAATAACATTATTTACTATATTATTATTCATCATTATATCATTATATAACATTATATATCATTGTATAATGAATGATATACTAATTTCTTGTTATAAGATTATAAATATAATGGTTATTACAATAACATCTTTAAAGCAGGAAAACAAGTTATGTGAATTTCATGTTATCAGTCTAATACAAGACGTTCTGCACTTTTCAATTACTATCACTAGAAAAGCTGGTAAAACTGAAATAGTTGTGAAAGCCTCAGATAAAAGTGTCTCTCAACTCTTTAAAGATTAAGTGCTTTGCTGCTAGCAAATTTCAGAACACAGTCATTGTTTCTAGCACATAGTTAAGAACATTTCTAATTGTTACCTTGCTGACCTCTTAAAATTATTTTCATTTTGAAATAATTATGTCTTGAAGTACTCCTCCATTATGCTTTTAAAAAAAATCAATACACATCACTTTGGAACTTGTAAGATGTCTGGCAAATATTCAAGGGCCAATAATTTACAATATTGGTTATCTGATTTAAACCCAATGAGGAATATGTTCTTTTAAATATTCAGCTTAGCCTATCTCTTTCCAAAATTACAGACCTTTAAGTTTCTCATGATGATTCAGTATGCTAAGAAATTACATGAATATTGAATGATTTCATAAGAGTTAAATAAACATTTTATTTTGGCTCATGTTTTCATAATTCCATATAGTAATCAAGCCCAAAGATAAACCAACTCTCCTAATCATTTCTCCACATAAAATCAACGTTTCCATAGCATAATTATTCAATTTTATTCAGCACACATCCTCTATTTGATTTTGCTTCAGTATCAGCTTTTCAACCAGAAAGAATACCTTTACAGTATTATCTGATACATAGTAAATACCAGAATTGAATTACAACTTGGGATTTCTTAAATCCCTTGTTAATGTGATTTAAAGGAAAACAAAATGCAGACAACAGAGCAACACAAAGGCATTTTACTTTCATATCAGGAATACCAGTACAAGGATGTGATTCATTAAGGTACTTATAAACTGTTTATGTATTTAACAGCTCTTCTTGTGATAAAACATATTCCAGAATTATCCAATGACCCCAGAATCAGTGCAACAAACCAAATTAGAAGATACTGGAATTAACTACCAAAAAAAATATATCCACACCTTGTGTGTGATATAAAGCAGCCACAGTAACACAGGAGGCTGGATCTTAGACAGAAGTATTAAAAACCATATGTAGAGAAGGAAAAGAAAACTAATTTCTTCAATACCTGATTTTGTACTGAGGCTGTTGCTGGCAATTGGTGCTAGTCCCCAGTTTAGGCACAGGCACCAAATTGCTCCTTATGTTAGGAATAAATTTTATCCAGCATGTATACCTTAAGAGAAAGCCAGGCTCCTTAAGAAGATGTATCTGAGACAGGAGACTACATTTCATCATTACACAAGTAATCCAAATCATAATTCAGGCACCTAAATGCCTGGATAGGCAGTCATTTCAGTAGAATTAATAGGTTCCAGTGCACTTGGTAAGAGAACTTAAACAAGAGACTTGCTGATATCAGAGACACTTGAACTTTTGCAAATGTATGAGACAAATAAGGTTAAGCAAAACCACGGCATTATTATCTGAGGTCTTCTGAGCTGATTTTTCATGAAAATTATGTTATGCTTGTCTGTGAGGAGAATAATTGTCTCAAGCAGCACTAGTGCTATAATAGGACATGAATTATTAGGAATAAAAGAGTCCAAAGTCTAATAACTGGGCTGCTTTCTTGTAAATTTCTCAGGCAGACAAAAATTACTGAATGGTAGAACGACTGAACCCCATGTTACAGCATTACTGAAATAATGTGCCCGAAGTCAAACGACAACAGCAGCATTGATGTGTGAGAGAAGACCTTGTAGGTCACAAAACAACAGGCTGAATTGCAGAGACTAAGTGAATGTAGCTTACGGTCAATTAAGTATTTAAAATTCCATATCCTGGAATATGGTAGTTATTACTGTCAGCTATGTCAAGGGAGATCTAAAGGGACTGCATCTTTCAGAACACACTGCATACAAGAACAACCATGGAAATGTGACCAGTTAGGACATAAATGAAAGTAGGGAGTTCTTCACCAGACCTCTCCTGGGTGACAACTGCAGCAACGCAAAGGAAGGTAAGTGCTACTTCAGTGGCAGAGGCCCCTGTGGTACTTAGGTCCCTGCTGTACCGCAGAAACCTGATGAAAACAGCTTGGCCTGCTGGTTTCCTGGTTCTCACTAGAGCTTCCTGGAAGTTCCAACTTGGAGACAGGGACCATGGAATTTCAATCTAGTTTGGCAGTGACTTTAATAGTCACAGTGACTTGAACCTGTCAAAAAAAACCCTGTTTCTGTTGTCAGAAACAAAAACATCTAAAAACATCTGCATTTGCAGACAGAATAAATTTTAGTTGTTGTTCCACTGCAAGGAAATTTTTTTCTGAAGATCTTCCTTAAATGTGTTCACAGATTTCTCTTCTGCTTTGACTTCAGCTCCAGCAGCCCCTAGGCAGAAGTACAACAGCTGTTCCTCTCCTAAAGAGGATACAACTCCCAAGCCTTTCGCTCCAGTACTATTGATAGGATTAATGTCCAAAGTCTTTTAGAAAATCACACTGAAAGTGGTTAAGTTCCCTATCTCACTCTCTAAGTGACCTGAATTTAGATTCAGGTCAGGTAAATTTCATTTCTCCCTCCACTTTACATATGCTGTCTTCATGTTCCAGTTCTGCATTACTTTTCATATACTTGGCCTACGAAACCCAGATTTCACCATGCGACTGTAGTGGTTTAAGCCCAGCTGGTAACTCAGAACCACACAGCTGTTTGCTCACCCCTCCTTTCCCACCCCCTCTCTGGGTGGGCTGGGGCAGAGAACTGAAAGAATGTAAACCCCATGTGTTGAGATTAGAGCAAAGTATAATATAAAAATACTACTACTAATAATAATGATAATGGTAAGAGAAATAACAAGGGGAGAGAATATAAAACTAAAATGGGAAAGGGTTAAAAACAATAAACACAAGTGACACATAATGCAATTGCTCACCACCCACTGACCGATACCCAGCCCGACCCCAGCAGTGATCTGGGCTTTATGAGTAACTCTCCCACAGTCTCTATACCAGCCATTACATGCTGTGGTATGGAGTGCCCCTTTGGCTAGTTAGGGTCAGGTGTCCTGTCTTTGCTTCCTCTCAGCTTCTTGTGCCCCTCTTCACTGGCAGAGCATGAGAGACTGAAAAGTCCTTGATGGGGACAAGTGCTGCTCAGCAACAACTAAAACATCAGTGTGCTATCAGCACTGCTCTCAGACTAAAGCCAAACAAGCACTGCACCAGCTACTAGGGAAGAGAAAAATAACTGTTGCAGCTAAAACCAGAACAATGACAAACAACATGCATTAATACAGGACCTTAAAACTAAAGCTGAAGATAGCAAATATTGATTACAAATAAAAACAAATGCAATAAATCCTAGGATATCCCTCATTAATTTTTACAGAGCTCTGAAACATATTTTCACCAAAAAAAAATGGGGGGCTTGTATGACTTTTTAGAAATGGTTGCCCCATCAAAGATGTTGCAGATGTTCCACTGCATGCAAGTTAACAGACTTCACTGAGCTAGAGGTCTCATGAACAAGGTAAGCTTTCAATGCAAAGCAATCTGTTCTCAAGCTAAAGGCTCACTGCAGCCTTTTCTAAAGGTTTCTTAACTGTAGGTAAAGCATCTTCCTTATTACGTAAGCCTTGGTGAAATGTGAAAACAAATAAATAGGTGCAGTACTGAGCTGTCAGACTGCACTATATTTAACACAGCTTAATTACTGGTTAATTACTGTATTTACTGTAATTACAGCAAAGATCATTATATCTACAAACATAACTGTGCTCTTTCTCCTCAATGAAAAAAGAAGAAGTTTAAAGTTTTTATCTGTTTTCATCAACATGAGAGACAGATCATTTTTTTCTTCATCTATAATACTGGCAAAGCTAGCTGGCTGAGTACTGATAGGTGTTTTACAATCCGTTGCTATCATACATACCAGCTAGGTGTTTTTCCATGGTCTGAAGTTCTTTTGCTGCTAAGGCATCCTTTAAGAGTTTCTGCCTTGGGGAACCCCCTGGTCTGGCAACCATGGCATCCAGGGTCCAAACCGTATGAGACTTAAACAGAAAAAAAAGGAAAAGGGAATACCTTTAATCTAGTTTCTCGTTTACATGTGAAGCAATAAAAGAAAAAAAAACAAAACCAATACATTTTGTCTTTTTTTTTTAAGAAGAGTGAATCTGGTGCTTTTTATGTAGAATACATAACATTTTATGCAAAATGTTACAAAATATCCTGTCTTACCTTAAATAACATAAATCAGAGGCATTACTTAAAATCAACAGTTCTAAAGTAATTCAAATATATACCTTTACACAAGCTTTTGTTCCATGCTGAGACAACATAACAGGACAAATTCTTCAATGATTTACATTCTGCGCAGTTCCAGTTACTTAGTGGGGGTTGCATTTACTTTAAATTACCATAACATTTGGCACCATATCTTTGCAAAGCAGCACTTCTGGGAATATCACAGAATTTCCTAATCAAAATTGCCAGTGCTTTTTTATCACTGCAAGAAGTATCCCTTTCAGGAACAGCAACTAAATCATCCAGGTGACACAGCAGTTTGGAAGGGATGCCAGCAAACAGACCACCTCCCCAGATACTTCATTATTGGATGCTGTGGTATTCAAAATCATCTTCATTTTCTGGAATCCACTCAATACAGTTTCAGGAAATTATTTTAAAATATACTATGACATAAACTTAATAATTTTTTTAATGCTTGAGACAGATACACAAAAAAAATATATGTCTGAGTATGCAAGACTTGGTCATAAAAACAAGCAAAAACATTAACTAAAGCATTTTTAACAGCCTATCTGAAGTAAATCATACAATATTGCCTCACTAAAACATTTCATCAATAGTCTAATGGGTTTTTTTTTGATTTCCTGAAGAAGCAAGACTTATGCAATGGTCTCACTGTCATTCATCTCTTTCTGATTTTTTAATCTTTCAGTAAATATCAAACAAATTTAGAGAGGGGGCATGGATTCAAAGACATTAAGCTGACATAATTTCATGGAGAAGAATGATTGAGCAGAGAAGGGAGACCCAAACTGGTGACCCGATCACAGAAAGCATACAGGGCTCTGCTGCTCCACAGCGTGCCAGGCTGGAACTGTAGCACCTGCAGACATGTGGGCGGCTGCTGATAGCTTCTGAACAAGGTGGTACTTTAAAAGGATTAATCCTTTTGAATGTACAATTTCATGCACAAGCACAGTTCTGATGAAATATGGAACAAAAACTAGTCAGTGGTCTATGGTAATAATTGAACACTAAAGTGATCTGATATTCTTTAGTTGGACTATTCAAGTTTACCATAAGGAAATTGCTATGGATTTTCATTAACTCCCTAACCTCCTAAAAACACAGGATTCCAAATGTTAGCCTGATTAAAGCGTTGCACTCTCCATGTTGTATTTTCTGGAAATTAAATAGAGAACTTTCTCTCTTTCTCTTCTACAAACCTCTACTGTTTCTTACAATTCTGCTTTTCCCTCTAATGCACTTTTTTCTTTTATGCACAGTAATCATGTAAGACATATACAACTAAGACAACTGTCTAAGTAAAGGCAGCTGTCTACTGCCTGCAGTAGATTCAAAGATAAATGGAGAAAAATTATTCAACTGTAGTCATCATTATAGTGCTCCAGATGTTTATAAAGACCTAAGTAATGTTTAAATTAAATCACTTCCAATTAGGAGACTCCAATTCACAAAGATCATCAAACATCAGCAGTACCTTTGTATGTTTCAATACAGGTTTTAAAATCTTATATAAGTGCATGTAGGACACACAGATATGCCTGTGTATAAGCACTTACACAAAGGCAGGAACATATATGCATTTAATAAATAATTGTGTCTGCCTTCATTGTGTTAACCCACAGCTACAAAGACATACAGAGTTTGTGTTCAATTCTGTATCTAGGACAGGTATTCTTTCTAGGAATAAATATTAATCTTGTATACGGTTTAAACCAAATACATTTACATATATGCATTACCTATTGTTATATATTCAAACTCCCTTTCAGAGGTACAGTTCCAACACCCTGTGGAATTAATGAGGTAACTTTGGATCAATTTTTTCCTCAAATTTTATAACTCTTCCTGTGCATTTTTCTGTTTTATTCTCTATTTTTCAAAGGCTTATGGCATTTTGTCAGGCAATTGCTTCATAAAAGACCAGAACAATAGTGCAGTACTAGTTATGGAAAACTGAATACTTAATATTAGCAATTTAATTTTGTGATGTTATGTGCTTATAATTGTGCCTTCCAATTAAACACTCACTTTATAGAAAATAACAATGCTCAGGGGAAAAAAAATGTACAAGAATTTATTAAGACATTAAAACCATAGTGTAACCATTCTTCATTCCTTCTCTGAAGCTAGATATTTCAGGGCTATAACCAACAACATTTTTGGATGTAGGATCAGGTAATGTTCGTTTTTTTTTTTTTTCTCTATATCTAAATAATTCTGTACATAAAAATATTTATTAACATTTTGAGACTATGAGTTCATCTAAATGAATAATACACAAACACAGACAGATGTCCTCAGTGCGTCCAGTACTCAATTAAGGCAGCAGCCTTATTCCTAACAGACAAATACAAGCTGAAAGTAGGGGATGTTATCAAGGAGGCTTTGGAAACATGCCAGTTCAAATGTGAGGATAAATTATTTTGTACAGCTCTAGCAGGATTCACTGGAGCCCCTTCTCTCCACTGGATGCATGGCAGCAGTTCAGATATGTCACTTAAGAGATTCAGCCTTGCAAGTCATGTATTTAAACCTTCTTATTCCACTTTGCCAAAACCTATCCTTTCTCTACTGGCCAGGAATCGCGGAGATAAAACAACGTCAGTTAACTCGGACTTCAGTGATGATAGTAGACTGAAAAATATAACATCTATATGTATGGAGTATGTCCAAAATACAGTTGCCCTGGATTGTTCATTAAGGTTTCTAAACATTAACACAAAATTTATGGATGGCATAACAAGATTAACCAGATCTAAATATGAAGATGTTACTGAATGACATCCTTGTCTTTCAAACTTGTAGAAACAGCTCTGGGCCCTGTTCATCACCTTCAAACTTGGAAGGTGAGGCAATATCTCTTTGTACCAGAAATATGTTCAAACAAAGCCCTTAGAATATATTTGTCAACTATTTCCTAAGGGGTTTTCTTTACATATCATTGCAATTTCTCCACATACAATACATTCATGGATGCTATTTTTACTTAGAACACTTAGCCAAATTACTGCTAAAATAAAAAGTTACAAACAATAAAACTAAAGGTAAACTCTCATCACTGGGTCCCTGAACTTCTGGAAAATACCACCACTTACTGGGAGTGCCACAGTGGAACAGAACTACAACTAAGGAGGTCATTAATAAGAATATTTCCAAGATCATTCAATCTGCAGCACAGTGTTAGCCAGTATACATTAGTTTGGCTTGTACCTCTAAAAAATGTGAACGCCATGTGCAGATGTGAATGTCTTGATCTCTCTATCGAGCTGACTTGGCGTGGGCTATGTAAACTCACTGAGACCTGAGGAGTTCTACAGAGGTGCAACATTTCAGAATACATAAGGCCAAGAGGAAGTCCTCCAAATTACCTACAGCATGACCTGGAAATCAAGTGCTTGTTAGCAAATAAATTACTCCTTTTTGCTGACCATAAAAAGTGTTAATAAACAGCACAGCATCATATTTCTGTGTCATTTTGGCCTACCTCAGAGTAAAACTAACCAGGTACTCAAATATGTGTTCATGAACATACACAAAATCTCTTTTCAGGTATGGGAACAGTTCCCACTTCACAAGAGAAGTGCTTAAAAACTGAATTGTATAATCACAATGAAATCAGGAAAAGGAGAGGAAACCAAATTAATTAGTTGTTCTTGACAAGCTCTAAATATATGCAATGCATTTTGATTGAACTATTTCTTCTACATAGTTTTTCTAATCAACTGCAAATTTTATTGGTAACTCCAGGAGATAATACTGTAAGAAAGATTACCATGCCTGGCTTTCTATGTGTAACCTACAAATCCTTTGCAGAATAACTTAGACACCTTAATTAGATACATGACAGAGATCCCTCCAAATGCAAAAAAAAACCATTTCCATTATTGAACAATCTGTTTGCAGGTGTACCTTCTGTTCTGACAAAACAGCTGGCAAAGACAGGTGTTATTCATGCAATGGAACTTTTTGTGCAATATTTTGTTTGAAGATTCTCCATACAACATGCATTTGCTACGAGAATTCATCACATACTTACTCTTGCAGCTTCCATAGTCTGTTCAAGGACATACGGTGAGGGAGTCAAAAGGGGGTTTTGGTACTGTAAAAATAATAAACCTCAAAGCTCTGAGGCAATATTGGCAGCCACCTCTAATCCCCACCTACCACATTAGGGCCTGTTCTACTTGAAATGCCATGTAATTGAAATTACAAGCCTTTTGCTTCCCATGGCAGTCAGCCAGCACATTTTATGCTAAACCTTACACTAAAAAATGGTAGTTTGAATTAACTTACACACAGTTTTTGTGTTTATAGACAAGAAGGAAGGAGAAAATATGTGGGCAACTTGGTAACACATTTGTTTTAATTTCTGAAGTGTAACTAGTATAATTTTTTTCTAAGCTTCAGTCATGTTTTGCTTGCTGTTATTTGGACTAATATTTTTGAATATGTCATACCCAACAACTAAAATTTTAAAGAGGTAAAAACAAGGCATTCATTGATTTTTTTATGTTGTTGTTTTTCATGTTTTTTTCCATCTATTATTTAAAAATTCAGAAAATTATTTCAATTTAAAATTACATTTTAAGGGATTAAATATTTTCAAATAAGAGTGTTTTTACTTCAAAAGACATCTCCCCTCCTGTCCGCCTGATGAGAGGTCTCCTTGGAAGCACTCTAGTCAACATTTATTGATAGTAAGAATTAAAAGATTATTTTTTTTACCATGCATTGACACTGAAGTCATTTAATAAATTGAATTACCATTAAGGAATGTTTGTGTTTATCAGAGAAAATCCATGTGTGTATTCCTTCTAGGAAAGCAATTGAAAAATTCCAAAGCAGCAGGGAAAACAGGAGAAAATTTATTTAAAAAAAAAACCCACCTTCATAAAAGAATTCATTACAGTACTTTTCCCACCGCAATAAAGCGCAAAAATTCAAGGCAAATTCATGCAGAAATGCTTTTTGCAGTTGAGCAATTTTTTTTTTCCAGTTTCTGTTACACTTGGATTGGTTTGACTTACATGGATAATTTGCAAGGAAAAATATACCTTTTTATGCGCACAGGCAAGGCAAGATGAGTGAATGCAAATATTCACATTAAAAAAACAGTAACCATGAGTCCTGCTAGATCCAGGTGGTAAAAGAAGCAACTCAGAGGGAAAGCATAGTTTACTCAATGTGAATTGCCCAGTGCACATGCCCTCTTTCTTTCTGTTAGACTGTAAATTTAGTAATTTCCCCATGTACTTTACTTTTCTATTTCTGTCAGAATCCCAGCCAACTTAATTTGTTCCTAATATCACATCAACATTATCTTAAAGCTCGCTAGCCAAATATTTATAAAATTCATTTACAGAAACACAAAGTAAAACAGGACTCCATGTTCACCCACTGCAAAAATCTCAAGAAAAAGATTGGCATTTTGCTTAGCACTTTTTGTTACGTTAAATATTTGTCAGAAAAGGAGCCCTGCAGTAAACTGGGATCTCTAAGGATATTTTGAATGCTTGCTTCCACTTTTAATCCTTGCAAAACACTTGGGAAGAGTGCTGATCCCTGTAAACACTTCAAACTGGGTTTTGCTAGCTTTACTCTTTTATTAATTCAGTACACCCTGTTTGGGATTATGCAGCACTGAAAATGTAACTTCTCTATCTTTCAAATAGCAATTCTCTGTGAAAAATAAAGCATATCAAAATAAGCTATTAAAAAAGGGTTAAAGAAAAAGGTCTAACTACAAAACCTTCTAGGTTCATCAGAAACAGAACAGTAAATATACACAGTGTTACAAGAAAATCATAATGTATCCACAGTATAAATTACATGAACCATGTTAGAGACATAGATATGGCCTATCTCTTCTCGGTACCAGTGTCCAGATTGCTTTAGTCTCCACATCAAAGATTTTATATGGGGACATACACGAGACACGAAACAAGAACCCACACAACTCTTTTCTAAACACCCTCATACATAATTCTTGCTGGTGTATCCCACTGTTTTTCTCAAAACACTTGTTTGAATGCTGAAGCACTTTAAAGGAAAATTTGTCAAATACATGAGTACAGGGAAATTTATGATAATGACACATTTAATTAGCAACAGACTCAAATTACCCCATTGGAATGCAGTATCAATATTAAAGATGGCACACCCTGAACCGGATCAGGAATTTTTACATGTGATATGTGCATTTGAGTGAATGCCATGAACCAATTTGTCCAGTTTATGCGAAATGTCTGATCAACATCATAGCTATTCTATTCTCGCCTCATCTTCCGTCTCATATAGTATCTCATAGCTGAAAATCACTCCAGTCACGAAAACGTATTTTGGTACCAATTTCTGAAGTAATTTTACAGCCGTATTTCTGTTTCAAAGGATCTTCATAGCCTTCCTATGGGAAACCTCAGTTTCACCTCTGTATTTTATATGTCAAGATCGTCAAAGAATGAGTCTCACTGGAAGTTATTAGGGACAACGGAACATATCTCTATTCCTTCAGAGCCCTACAAGGAAACTAACAACAGTGGTTGAATCATTTTTTTCCTTTTTGAAGAGAGAGTTGCAGACAAATACAGTGTTGGATAGCTGAATCTTATTCTGGATAACAAGACCCTTTAAAGATATAAGAGTACACAATCAGCTATGCATCATTTAAGCAAGAGTTGTAAGATACAAAATGCAGGAAACAACCCAAAGCTGCTGAACTAACAGTTACTGGCTTACGGCTCCTTAGAAACTTAGGCAAAGGAATTTTCCAAGAGCTCAGGAAACAAGCTAGCAGCCTTTAACTTAGGGAGAGGTTGTGTGGGCAGAGCAATAGCTGTATCTGCTTTTCTGGCCATCTCTTTGCAGCGCTGGCAGTAACAGTAGCCAGTGTGGCTTTCAGGGAGTCAGGCCACGCAACTTTGCTGCCTCTGGCAGCCTACTGCTCCAGGCAACCTCACCAATGTCTAGAACTAGCAGAGTATATTTCAAAGCATGCACACACAGAACATGTATCTAAAAGTAGTTAGCTGAAGGCTGCACATTTATGTAGCAAGATTTTGCTAATAGCATAATGATCTTTTGTTTTCCTTGCATCTTTTATTTTTTTCTGTGCAATTCAATTTATTTGTTGCTAACTCCCTATGCTGTACGTCTGCAGAATTGATAAATCAAAGCCGGTAGCGGCAGGTACAAATCAATAAGAGAAACGTGGGTTTAGAAACTGCTGCAAAATTTATTATACCTCTCTGTTCACCAGTGTGAAGCAGAAAGATTTGAGAAAGAAGCTCACAGCGATGGCAACTGAAGTTCTGCTCCTTACTCCTTTTGCCTAGTATCTGTAAATGCTCTGTCAGGTACTTGCACTCCAAAATCTCAGAAAGCTTTAGGAATTGATCTGGAATTCAATTGTCTGCCAACTGCTCTGATAACTCTGGTTAGAAATACTATATGATCAGTGTTATTATTAGTAGTTAATCAGCTGCCTGAAAGACTGCTGGATCAGTCTGCATTATTGCTTTTTTCTTTAACACCGCCCTTCTCTCCTTAGCTAACAAATACTGAGCCCTTCTTTTGACTGACTTTATCAACACTAAAGTGTGCTATAAACCACTCTTGCTAGGGTTGAACAGGAATTAATGTGTCCTTTTACAGCTATCTAAAATTCTGCAAAACCAAACAATTATTGTCAGCTTATTTGCCTTAGAAAAAAAAGGAATCCGTTCTTTAACCTATATACAAATTATGATGAAATACAACTAGTGCCAAAATTCTGATTGTATTATTTTTCAAAAATTATTTTATTGCTGGTTATATTTTTGTGCAACCTGCAAATATTTTCTTAAATTATTTCAAAATAACAGAACTGATGAAAACTTTACCAAGCAGAATATTGCACTCTTTAAAGATACATAAATTAGCCATATGTTTTAAATAGGTACCTGCCATTTATTAATTTCCAAGCAAATGTTACCAAAAAGCTAAATTCAGATACTATAATTGTATTTCATACTGAAATGTAGAGCTTGAAATTTTTTGTTCTCTTATTTTGTAAAATCGAATACTGTCTGGTAAAACAGATATTTGACTAACATTTAAGAACAATCAGACATATAAAATGACTGCACTTTCAACGGAAGCTATACATGTAAGTCACACAACGTATGCTTTTATATGAGAGTATAATAATTTCTTTCAAAATATCATCCTACCTAGAATAAAAAAAAAAACAACAGAGAACTGAAGATTCAGAAGGGTCAGGTAAATCAAGTTTTCCCCAGGATGACAGTGCTGCCACACACAACTTTTTGTCTTTATGCAAAAATCTATTTTCTTTTTTTATCAAACTAAATGGAAAAATTACAGAATTATCCATAAGGGAAGATACTCACAGATCCTGCCACTTGAGAGACATTCTGAAATTCATCAATATCTTCTGTAAGTGTTTCAGCCCCGGGTGCTTGAGCTGTTCCAAAGAGGTAGAAGTAAATCATTCTAATTAAGTAAGCATAGCCACTTTGAAAATAAAATGCCTATAAATTAACTGCTGGGAAGGTAAATGTGGCTACAGTAAATGCACAGCTTTTCAGTTACACTTCAATGGGTTTTCATTTATGTCTGATTTTAATTTATGTCTGATTTTATGCCTGATTTTAATTTATAAGCTTAATGCAATATGGCACAGTGTCTCTAACAAACATGATTAGAATAACAAGCAAGCTTCCTTCAGCTGTCTCATATGTTGGGGTGTCTCGTACGTTATTTATTATTTTTACTATTAAAACTCGATGGCGTTTGCTGTTTACACAAAGTGAGTAGTGGATCTTCAGCTTTCGTAAGATCAACACAATTACTTTTAATTAATTTTGTTAAGCTAATTAGAATATTGTTAAAATCCTTGAAGTAAGAAGTTCTGCTCCCTTTAGGCAATGTTTAAAAGCCCATACTGCCACATTTGTAAAACAACATGACTCGGTGAGAAGCCTAGAATGCCTCTTTGACACATACATAACAACTTAAAGCAGAATTTATGTACCTATGTCAGAGAAAGCAATTTCCAAGTAACATGCTATGCAGTTTCATTCTTTGCCTGACAGTCTGCTAGGCACTTGGATGCTGTTCATAAGCAGTTTAAGAAAAGAAGATACCCTGATCTTCCCTAGTCTATGCGGCTATTCAGACACTTAGCAGGGAGAGCCTTACGTTTTCAGAGTGCCCCGATTTGTTAAACATCTCAGACTATATTTACTATAAGGACAAAACTATACTGAAGTACAGTAACTATGGTTACCATATTGTGGGGAGTGAAGGCGAACTTTGGGAGTGAGCTCTGAGGCCTTAGTGCTTAACAAGCCCTGGGGCGATGAGCTGGGCTGCTGAAGGACAGGGAAGGTCGAAGAGCAAGCCTCTGGAGGACCGGCCCGGATGTAGTTGTGGCGGGAATCTCAGATGGAGGCAGGAGGATGTGGGGGATGCGAGAGGGTCTGCAACACTGTGATTGGTCTGTTTACCTGGAGGGTCTCACAGGGGCTAATGAGATTGAACGCGGTGTGTATGTGCAGGTTGGGGAGTACCGAACGAGGGGATAAAACGGGCTTTGTAACAACAAAAGAGGATTTGAGTCTGCATTAACTTGAGTTCGTGCCCTGAAATGCCACACCATATTCATTGCAAAAAACAAATGAAAGCAGAGAAGGAAAATATAACCATGATGCAAAGTTGTGGTCAGAGAACTGTGGGAGATGATGCCACATTTTTGCCAATCCCACATCTAGTTCTCAACCCTAACTCCCACATATTTGTATCCTTCTTAATTTTTTGCCCTGGCCATGCAGTTCTATCTGGAATAGCACTATTTGTGTTTCATACATTCCTATTACTATTGAACATCTCCAACTTCAAGCCATTCATTTATGTCCAAATGCCTGCTTTGAACTTTTCACTATAGTGGCACTTTAAAGGGAGAAAAAAACAACCAACCAAAAACAGTATGTAGAAGCCTCACAAGTTGGTGTTTTCAGTCCCTCCAAGCTGAAAAACTGACTGTAGGTTGACAGATGCAGACTTTTACTGCATCGATCCTGTTGCAGCACCTGTCTTTTCAGGCCTCAGCCATTCTCCCCATCTGTCTGTACAGAACAAGAGCAAGGCTTAATGGAGGACTGATCCAAGAGACAAACCTGACAGGCTTGGAATCTAGAGGGGAAATTTGTTGTGTGGTAATTCAAGTTGTTTCTTCTAACCAAAATCAAGAACCTAGCTATTAAATTCTTTCCTTAGTTCTTTCCTGTGAAGTGGTCCAATGGGAAAGAGAAAGTTTTGAGAGGTATAGTTTAGGACAGTAAAAAGAAACTGCAGCTTTAAAATATCTTGTGTTCTCTGATCTTGAGACCTGATTCCCATCTCTCATTTTTACTACTTAGATCAACACAATTCTGTCCAATTCTGCAGGATTATACTAGAGGGAAATCAGTATAGTGGTTAATTGGAACCAGGTCCAGATTGACAGTGGAGTCAGTATAGTGCCTGATGCTGCAGATGAACTTTTCACATAAGCTATTACATTGACTTTATTAGCTGGAATTGCTTTACTAAGGTTTATTTATACGGGCTGTTAGATCAGATGTGTTGCCAATTACTTCTGAACCTAGTTCATCTGAAATCCACAAGAGAGATGCTCCAGATCTAACAACTTAACAATTTCCCATAAACCCAGAAACAGATCATTATCTAAAGAAACCTACCCTTCACTTTGCTGTGCATCAGCACCTTGCTTGCATATTCTTGAACAAATGGTTTAGATCAGCACTTCTGAACGCATAGTTTTCTTTCAGTAAGGCCATTGGTACCAATAAGTAAGAGCAGAAAATAAATTCAAGCAAACCTGGTAAGTGAAGCCTGTTAGTCACTGTTTCATGATATAATACATTCTTAAGAGGACAAAACAAAAAAATCAGTGCAATATGATGCATTGATTTACTTAGTGTTTTATAATAGTATGTTTAGGAGTCTCTTTTATCACCTTCTTGTACATAGTATTTATTATAAATAAATATCAGATGCACAAAAAACAAGTAATATGATGTATTTATAGAAAAGATTGGTAAGACTGGGCAGTTGCCCGAGTTCTGTGCTTGTTTCTAGCCTATACCTATTTGTAAAGTCCAGCTGTGATTTTTTTTCAAATCAAAATGTATTACTAGCCAACATTTTAGGGGGAAAAAAAAAAAAAGATATTTTGAAAGACTGAATATTCCTAAGAGTGCCTCTTGACAGAAAAAATTGGCAGTACCTCACTGCTGACCTCAGTCATTTTGCCCTAGGGGTTTTACTATATTCTAGCTATATGACTAAGAGGTTCATGTATATTTACAGACATGAGATAGATGTGTTTATAACAACATGAATGTCATTGCCCCACCTAACTAACTTTTAGTCCCTATATTTTATTGGAGGTAGTTCTTTAGGGAAAGTGCTCTCCATCTTCTCTATACCCATGCTGACTGCAAAGTATCTTGAAGCATAAGCTGGAGCAATCCTGTGCTCTACACTCTGTGACCATGAAAGATCCAGCTTCATTATTACACAGAATCCAGCAGCTTGTTTGACCTTCTTTAATCCTGGTGCCTCTGACACTTAGCAAGAGCCTACTATTTTATTGAAGACAACAGTTTCAGAAGATAGCATGGCAGAGTTGGTATATTTCCATTTCAAGAGCAAGAGTACACAGGAAGAAGGAAGGAAGGCAATGAACTGTTAAAGACAAATTGTTTCAGGAACTATGGGATATTTTACCCCTCTACTTGTTTCTGCTGCAACAATCTTATGCTTGCATGCTCCTTTACCTATCCCAAACAAGCCACCACCACCTTCTTTCCTGGGGTTTACTCCCATAGCGAAAGAATTTTGCTTTCCTTTCACAGGGCTTGTGAGCAGTCACCAGTCTGGGACACTCTTGCTGACAATATTCATGAAGCAGTAAGAACATCATAGTTTGAGATTCTGAATCCCCTATTAATTTTTTTATAAAGTGACCAATGGGAGATGAAAGGAAAAACAAATGGATGGCTGCACGAGGCCATGCATTCTCACAAAACTAGTTTGAATCATAGAATCATAGAATAGTTAGGGTGGGAAAGGACCTTAAGATCATCTAGTTCCAAACCCCCTGCCATGGGCAGGGACACCTCACATTAAACCATATCACCCAAGGCCTTGTCCAACCTGGTCTTGAACATCGCCAGGGATGAAGCATTCACAACTTCCGTGGGCAACCCATTCCAGTGCCTCACCACCCTCACAGGAAAGAATTTCCTCCTTATAGCCAATCTAAACTTCCCCTGTTCAAGTTTTAACCCCTTACCCCTTGTCCTATCACTACAGTCTCTAATGAAGAGTCCCTCCCCATCATCCCTATAGGCCCCCTTCAGATACTGGAAGGCTGCTATGAGGTCTCCACACAGCCTTCTCTTCTCCAGGCTGAACAGCCCCAGTCTCCTCAGCCTGTCTTCATACAGGAGGTGCTCCAGTCCCCTGATCATCCTTGTGACCCCTCTCTGGACGTGTTCCAACAGTTCCATGTCCTTTTTATGTTGAGGACACCAGAACTGCACACAATACTCCAGGTGAGGTCTCATAAGAGCAGAGTAGAGGGGCACGATCACCTCCTTTGACCTGCTGGTCACGCTCCTTTTGATGCTGCCCAGGATACGGTTGGCTTTCTGGGCTCCAAACACACACTGCCGGCTCATGTTCATTTTCTCGTCAACCAACACCCCCAAGTTCTTCTCCGCAGGGCTGCTCTGAATCTCTTCTCTGCCCAACCTGTAGCTGTGCCTGGGATTGCTCCCACCAGGTGTAGGACCTTGCACTTGGCATGGTTAAACTTCATGAGGTTGGCATCAGCCCACCTCACAAGCATGTCAAGATCCCTCTGGATGGCATTCCTTCCCTCCAGCCTATCAACCGAACCACACAGCTTGGTGTCATCAGCAAACTTGCTGAGGGCGCACTCAATCCCTCTGTTCATGTCAGAGACGAAGATGTTAAAAAATCTTTAAAATATCTTTAAAGACATACTAGTTACTAATGCTGACATACATTGGTTTACAAATGAGGCAAGAGAAAGGAGTGAAAGCTCAAGCTGCTGTCATACCCAATAGCACACCTAATAGTACTAAATAGCAGAGAGCAGGCTAATTAAAAAAAAAAGTTCATATTTGTTTTGCATTAATTAATCAACAAAGCTAACTTGTCTGTGGCTGCTGAAGACAAAACTACAAATCAAATCCTCCAATTAATTGACTGGAATTAATTGATTCTGCCTACCAGTAAGGCAATAGACTGAGCCATTAATCTTTGCAGATTCTCTGTCCAAACCTCTATTCCTCTCTGTCTCCATCCCAATGACAGCTAAGATAAAGTTAACCTTCATCAACTTAATCGTTTGTAGGAAAGCCGGTTTTATTCTGCTCAAAAACCTGAGCAGAAATTGAAATAAGGCTGAGTGTCCTGACTGCAGAATAGCGCAATGTATGAATATGTATGAGGAAAAAAAATATTTTTCAGAGGTACTCTATGAACTCCTTTTTATTGTATCTTAATTCTAGTCAGTGGTGCTTGGATTGATCAGAGAAACATTTCTGGTACTTAGTTTAAAAACAGGGAAGAAATTCTATAACTCTTGTTATTTTTAGTGTATATTATTTGAATTCTGTGGATGCATTTCTAGTGTCAAATTAAATATTTCAAAGACCATTCCTTGACAGGGAGGCCAACTGGCAATGAACAGCTCATGTCTACACTATTAAGTTATTTTACATCCAAAATAGTGCACTAACATACAAACTGTCTACTAAGAATGATTCCTGGCCTAAGGCAGCTCTCAAAATATGCCTAGGAATTATTCTGGAGTGCTAATTGTCCATGACAAAAGCCATATTAGGGGCTCCTCTAACAGATTTGATTGTAAATGATTGAGTTCAAATGGCAAGGAACATTATCTGGAAGTGCTTAATCTTCTTTTACAGACTTAACCTCTATTCTCCAATTCAAGATGTTGGCATTTGGTGTTTTTTTTTTATGAGCAGCAAATATTTATGCAACTTACCATCAGAGTCTGTGACTACTGGTTCAGATGTTTGAGATACCACGAAGACATCTTCTGGCCTTTCTGCCAAATTCTCTCCTTGCAATCTAAATTGTGGAAAAACTGAATGAAAACATTTGCAATCATATTCCATAGATAAGACACAGAAGAGTGTCATCTTTGTCTACAAACCCTACTCACAACAGTGTCCTAATTAAAATGGTGGCTTTGCTGAAAAGCCAACATCCATGGTTCAATCATATCATCCCAGATTGTCTAGTAACCAAAACTAGCCTTTAAAAACCAGTCAACTGAATCCTAGCTTATATATTTTTGTAGGACTTGCGTCAGCAGTGGTGGAGTTTTGGTGGCATCATGTGCATATGAAACTGCAAGCTTCCTTTACTACATTCAAAAATATTTTAACTGAACAGTTAAACAGAAAACATTTTAACTAAACAGTACTGGGTGTCCATGTCAAGGTGTTGTCAATAGGGACCTCTACAGGGGTGGCCTTGGTGAGGAGAGAGGCTGCCCTATGATGGATGCAGGTGGTTCCATCCAGCTCTAAAAGACCCACAGCAGGACACAGCTGAGCCCCTCAGCCACAATAGTGGCGCCGTATGGAGAAAACATAGTTAAGGAAGAGCAACCAAAGCCACACAGGCAGAAGAACAGGGAACAGAAAGAGTGGGAAATGGCAGAGGGAGCACCAAGGTCAGAGGAGGAGATGCTCCACACTCCGAAGCAGATAATCCCCTGCAGACCACGGTGAGGTGCATCCCAGAGCCAATATCCACTGCAGCCTATGGAGGATCCACACCAGAGTAGGTGGATATGTCTTGGAAGGTCTGTGGTCCATGGAGAGCCCACAGTGGAGCAGATTTTTTTCCTGTAGGACTGCAGCTCGTGGGGAGAGCCCACACTGGAGCTGGTAAAAAGTGTGAGGAAGAAGGAGGGACAGAGAGAAGCTGTTACGGAATGACCACAACCTGCTGCTTCCCATCCTCCTATGCTGCTCAGGGAGTGGGGAGAAAGACCTGGAGTGAAGTCGGGCTTAGGAAAGGCAAGAGGAAAAGTGTAATTTTAATGATTGTCTTTCTGTTTCTCATTACTTAAATCTATTTTATTTGGCAATAAATTAAACTAATTTTCCCCAAGTCTAGTCTCTTTTGCCCGCAACATGAACTGGTAAGCAACTATCCTGTCTTTATCTCAACCCACAGATTTTTTCATCCTATTTTTTCCCCTCATCCTGCTAAGGGCGGTAAGTGAGCTAGCAGCTGGGTGGGGAGTTGGGCCTTAGCCAAGGTTAACCCACCACAGGGAAATACATGCAAGAATATTTCCTCCTCCTTTGTTATTTTTTAAAAGACAAACACAGTAATTATGGTAGGCTTCATCTTCAGGCTTTCCCCCTGCATCAGCTGACTGCAGTGCCTTTGACAGCAATGTACAATAACATGCCTTGTATTTGTTCTTTTAAATGAATATCCCAAGAGTCCTACCATCCTTCTTCAGGCTCTTATGAATCTTTAGTACAGATCCTGCTCTGAAGAAATGGTTTGTAGCTCTTAACACAATATAACTGCCAGTTACATCAAGGTTATCTTACCTTGAATTTATTCAGACATGAAAAGAAAAGAAAAATGCAATCCAATTTTGCAAAGCCCACGAATCATAAAAATGCATCGAAGTAAAACCTTGGGGAAAGAAATAACCCATCTTTTACAAAAAAGTTCCTTTCACTTTGTATTCTCACTTTCTGCAGCTGCTTTACACTAAATTTTGAATTAACCTTTGAAACCAAGCAGAACCCTCATGTCTGCCCTACCTATAGTTCACAATTTATGGCTCTCACAGTTATCTAATATATTTGGATCTTAAGTCATCTATTTGTTTTTACTTTCTCAAACCAAGCCCCCCCCCCCCCCCCCCCCCCCCCCAGTTACTTTATCTCCTTTTATTGCCCCTCGGACAGTTCATTTAGGATGGAAAGCTCAATGTATATTTGTAATGACTCTTACCTGAGCAGGCATTTCCACAGTCCTCAAGGCAATGTAAGTAAAACTTAGAAGCTGTAAACCTAATTTTGAAAATCACTTATATGAGTCCTTTATAGCTCTATTCCTGGTTTGTAATGCTCTAGTAACAATTCTTTAAAAGCCTGCTTGTCAAACAGGCTCTTCTGAAGATGTCAGTGAAACAGAAGCAAATAACTTTGTGCCATTATCATAAAGATATTCAAATAGGGAGGAAACAAACTGTAAATGCAATAATCATGTGAAAAAGATTTCAAAAATCACATCGCCTTTGCATTAAAATTGACCTGTCCTTCATTGTATACATACATGTTTCCTGCAAGCATGAATTCAAGCATATAAGGTTATGCATGAAATAGCAGGAACCAGCAGTGATGTACTCTTCTCTGCCGCCATGTTGATAGTTTATTTGTGTTTAATTAAAAGGAAAAAAAACCCTCTGTTTATATTGCAGTAATTAAAAAATCATCTCTAGATGTAGCAGCTGCTTCTTTTATCCCATTAGATTTTTCAAGGTTTTAAAATACATTCTCATTCTGAGCTTCCATAAATCCATACCAGACATGAACAACTGAAATTACTCTCATATTATTCTAGAAATTGCATATATTTAAGTGGCTCATTGCCTCATGAAAAACATGAAAAAAAAGAAGAATCTTTTCAATAGTCAGAAAAGCTATTTCATATGATTTCTTTTTGTAGGAGGAAATGGCTGGGTGAACTGGGTGGGTGGATGGGTGAATAAGATACTTGACATATTCAGACCTCATTTTCACATCCAGTTTTCAACTTCTTTATGTATTTCTTATGTGTGGATTCATATTGGAATAGAATCCTATGTGACTCAAGCAGCAAAAAAGTCACAAACACTATTGCTTGCTAAAAGAATTCTGTTACTTGGTCTGTTCTCATTTCTCCTTCAGTAGTAACCATATTCATAAGACAACTCCACAGTAAAACAAAAACATGTAAAAATTCTTAAGCAACCGATTTGAAATAAGCATACGTCTAGAAGAGCTGCTGAATGCTTTAGAAGCTCTTTATACAAAGATGTATCTTCTAATATGAATGTCTTCCAAAAAAGTGTGTTGCACCATGCTCCAAGCATCATTAATGTTGGATGGCTTACGCTATGAGATTCACTTACCTGGTCCCTGGTAGCACAAAAGCATTTTCATCTCCAACACTTCTTTTTTGCAGACTAGTTCTACACAGAAGTGTAAACTATAAGGTAGACTTCGTTCTTTGTTACCAGATATTAAATAGAAATACTTTTAGCAAAAAAAAGGTAAAATGATGAGCAAAATGTTGTATTGGAACTTTTCATCCACTGTTTTGGAAAAGGAGATTATATAAAGAGGAATGTATATGAGATCACATCCTTATTTGCAAATCAATCTAAAAAGTCAAGCTTTTCCAAACTGGAAAACCTGATACCTAATAGCTAACATTTTTTTCTACATACATTCTATTTATAGTGTGATGTCTTGATTAGAGGCCCTTGTTTCAGTTACATTCAATCAGACACATGCTGGAGTTTCAAGAGCTACAAACAGCCTCCAGGCAAATACTTCAATTTCCTTTGACTCAAAAATGCATTCTGTGGGAATTGATCCAACAAAACTGCTAAGACTTCAGGACCAAAGACATTCTGAATAAGTTCTATAGGATAGTTGCAGCAGCATTATAAGAGGTCTATCACTACAAACACGCTTATTTGTGTGTGAAACACAGTAATACTGCCAGTATCACTCAGCAAATATGATACTATGAATACGCAAAAAGAGGACAAAACCAGTTTATCTACACTCCTTGAATGAGTCACAGCATAATAAAGTCCTACATTGCTTCATCAAAGAAAGGAAACAGAAAATAGGAAAAACTGAGTCAAGATTGAAATTATGGATTTTTTGTTTTTCATCCATTACTTTGAAAAGGTCTTTTCACACCCTTGAAAAATCTATAAGCACACACAGTATCCTCTAAGAAATGGCAGTGACTAAAAGTCAGCAAAATGAAAACATGTTGATTCCTTTAGGATTCAGATTAGGAAAACATTTCCTCTTGACTTAACATCTGACAAAGCAGTGTTTTCCACAGAATTTTAATATTTGTCACCGTATCAATTATTTTATATTATATCCATGTAAGTTGACTTTATCTGCTATGTTAATTATTCTATTAGTGCTGGTGCAGTATTTAAAATTTGTGGACACATTTAGCTTGAGCAAAATGGACTTCTAAGAGGTAAAACAAACTCCTGCTTTGAGGACAAGTATGGGTATGTCTATACTTGAGTGTATACATGACTGCAAGTACAGATGCGAGACAAATTCTTGTTGAAGAACTCTAGTGCACTAAACATAGATATACACTATGATTGCCCTCTATGTCAACACTTGGCTTACTATATTCTTAAAATTAGCAGTAAATAAAATTAAAGCAAACTCTGTGTTATAGCACAATACTATAATAATGTTAGTAATAATAGCAATAATAAAGTTCACTGGTGAATATCATTCTCACACCATTAATAGAGAAGAAGAAAAAAAAAAGCTCACTTCCAAGGACCACATCAGATTCATAAAAATAATTAAAAAACAGTTAACCACAAGCACAGGTACTTTCTAACATCAGGGACTAATGAGAAGGAATAAAGTTCCTGAAAACAAAGACATGGAAATGTTTCTGATACCCAGTACTGAAAGATATGTTCTTTAGCATTTGCTCTTTGTGTAGACTACTAATTCAGTGTATGTGCATTACAAATTGCTGTGTACTACTATATAGCACAGTACTTCAGGAATTTTTTGTGTACAATGAAATATTAAATAGGAGAGGAGATCCACCTTCAGAGAACGGTGATTGTTTACTCACAGAAAAATTTGCCTTGTATTTAGATAAATACTATTCTGACAGGCTCTTTCAGAAATATGTCACTTAAATAACAAAATTCCCATTCTATTTCTCCTAAAAATGAACAACAAAAAAATCCAATCCGGGTAGGGGTTATAATTTTTGGATAAAATCTCCTTTAATCCCCAAATATACAACGACAGGCAAGA